TCAGAGAATATTGGATATTCAAAGTTCATAACATACATTAAAAGTACTAGATTATACTTTGACAAAATTAAATTACTTTTTTTTTTTTTTTTTTTTTTTTTTTTTTTTTTTATTTATTATTTGCAATTAAAGAGATTGAAAGTATTTTACAATTTTTTACTTTTTCAGGTGACATTGTCATTTGATTTATACGGTAAAGATGTATCTCGAGCCGTATAAGATTGAAAATAAAAAACTTTTTTTTTTTGTTATCATCTTTATTAATCGAATTGACATTAATACAAAGCCTTGAACTAAATAGGTTTCACGATGAAGAAGCAATTAAATTTTCTCAATCATTCTCATGCCCCTCTCGAATTTAATATAAGAGTTCGGTCTGACGGATACGAGATGCCGATCACTCATGAGGAGTTCGCAAGGTCTCAAACGAAACCAAAGTTCCCTTCCTGTCCACGCGAATTTTTCGTATTCCCTAGCGATGGGACGATCGAGCCTCACAATAATCTACAAGTGCAAGTTGGTCGAATTTTTGCCAACATTTACCCAAAATAGGCGTATTTTACGCCTACGTATATTACCATTAAAAGATGAATTTTCTCTTAAATTCGCTAGCTTTCTTATACACCAAATATCGTACGCTCGGGAGATACTCAGATACAAATTAATATGCGCAAGAATTCAAGCATCGAACCAATTCTACTACCAATGAGATTTCGAGCGAAACGAGCAATTTTAAATGTCACTCCAAATGAAATAAGCATTCCATTTTGCTTCGTAAACTTTCCTTACCACCTAAATCTAACTATCTCAAATTCAACCAAAATCGAGGGATATTTTTACTTTATTCCACAAGAGGTTTATAACCGATATTTTATTAAAATTTATTCTATAGCTTATATATATATATATATATATATATATATATATATATATATATATATATATAAGGATAATTTATTTATGATTTAAATACATCTTTACATTTTTATTAAGATTGATGATGATACAACGATATTATACTCTTTATCAACGTATCAAGGATATTTAAAGCCAGAACAATCGAAAGAAATATCTCTAACGATAATTGTTAAAAAGATTGGACCGCAACATCAAAGCCTAAGGTATAATTTAGTATTTATAATTTATTATACTCAAGTAAATAAGCTTTTCGTAAAAAAAAAAAAAAAAAAAAAAAAAAAAAAAAAAATCATTCGTACAATTTATTAAAAGAATACTCTTATACGATTAAATATACATAATTAGTTATTGTCAACATTTGCGAAATTCTTGATTACTATATCGATTATTTGTATTATCATTTAAAACATTTAATTGAAAAATATATATCCAAATATAATAAAAGTTATTTTTAATTTTCAAATACTTTCAAATAGATTATTAAGTCTCGGTCTGGAAAATCCAGTTATATGTTGTGAAATTATCTGTGAAGGACAAGGACCTATAGTTTCTACGAAAATGTCTCATTTAAATTGGGGTGAAATACAATTATTGCAAAGAAAAAGCTTGACATTAGAGTTAATGAATGACTCGCCAATTTCAGCAGAGTTTACTACCTCACTGGTAAATTTAATCAATCACTATACTTATTGTTTTGTTCATTTGTTTTTTAAACTTTAAAACAAATTCGTGGTTTGCACCGCGTTTAAACTACGATTAAAATGCTTCGAATTATTACATATTTTCTAAATTACCTTTACATTAGAAAAAGACTAAAAATATTTGGGAGATTGAGCCATCAACTGGAGAATTGGATCCCAATGTAACAACATCCCTTATTGTATCTATTAAGTTAAGAGATACTGGCAAGTTTTCCGATCGTTTACTAATTACAATTTTCAATGGGAAAAGTATTAGTGTAAACCTTACGGCCATCGGTATCGGCACTTGTATCATTTTTGAACCTGAAATTTTTCCTAAATTTGACATAGGCTTTCTTTTCAGGTAATTAAAATTATCCCTTCATTTACTTGTCATGCAAATATTTTTAATAGACATTTAACTTTTAATAAATTACGACGATTCACGTTATGATGAAAAATTATAACTTATATTATATAAATAATATAATAATAATATTAATGAATAGTTATTGTTTTGTTTTATCATTTTTATTTTATAAAATTATACAATTCAATACTCATTTGATATTATAAGGTCATTTAAGAATAATGACCAAGAAGATCAATTACTAATATAAAATAATATATTTTACATAAGAGATTTATCGATTTTTATCAAAAAATATTGTTACTCATCAGTCATCAAGATATAAATATTTCGATTACTATAATTAACGAAGGGACAAAGCAACATACAATATATTTAACTAACATAGAGAAATCACGTCAAACGAAAGCAAGTCTAGCCGAAGAAACTGAAAGGTGCCTTTCGTCTCTCAATTAATTAATTATATTTCACCAAACTTACATTCATTACTTTATCGTTAGTTGCAAATTCAAAATTGAACCGAATACGCTAGAGTTATTACCAGGAACGAATGATGTTCTAAATTTTAAGATACGTTCGAATTCGTAAGTGTGAGCAACAAATAATTAATATGTAATTATGCATATTTAAAAAAAAAAAAAAAAAAAAAAAAAAAAAAAAAAAAAAAAAAAAAAAAAATGAATACAATACCTTTATAGCTTGTTATATTGTAGAAATAATTTAAATATTGATAAATATAGGAACATCCTGTTAAAATGATTTCAATTAAAATGATTAGTATGAAAAATTAAAAGTATCTGTTTAAAGAGCATTTAGAAGTTTGTATCAATCGATAATATTTATCAAATCACATAAATTAATTTTAGCACGTTAATAATTGGTACTGTATTTTTTTTTATTTTTTAAACTCATAATATGTTTTAATCCGAAAGATTATTGAACAAATATAAATTATTATTTCAAGAATCGCAACCATTACGGAGAAATGGTATTTTTATGCTACTGTAGAAGGACAAGGAAAACGCGAATGTGTTGGATCAAGTGAATTTATAGCCACATTCATCGAACCAAACGTTATCTTCGATAAAAACGAATTAATATTTATACTTGATTTGGGATGGACTGATACAATATTGCAGCAAATGGGTAAATGGGTATTATACGAATGAAAATTAATAATAGCAAGATTTTATTTTGAAATAGCTTTTCGATGATAAAGTTTTTTTTTTCTTTTTTTTTGAGTATAAATTATATATCCTTATGAATGATTAGTTTTTCTAAATTAAACGTCATTTCAGAGAAAGTTGAGATTAAAAATCAATCTGGCCGTGATTTGAACACTCGTTTAACAATTGACTCGCCTTTCGTCATAATTGATAAATGTAACTGTTATACCAATGATATAGATATGGTTTTAATTAATAATAAATCGATAAGTTTACAAGTTTATTTTCCATTTGATGTGGAAAATTCGGAACTACTGCCACAAAAATATAAAGGTTATCTGACACTCGAATACAAAGAGCACAAGAACATAGTGAGACGTTTATTTAATAAACTAATAATAATTACGCTATTTAACCATTAATCATCTAAAGAAAATATTTTTATAGGATAAAATTTTATGTAAGGCGGAAGTTAATTTTCCACACGTAAGTTTGGAGTCGAACGAAGTTAATTTGTATTGTGCAACTGGATACAGTGTTGAAGAAAAAGTAAAATTTATAAATGATACTCCATTACCTGTATTTTATAATATTAAGTGGATTAAAGAAACTTTTGTGTATGAAAAGTTGTCTTTAATAAGTGAGGTCAGTTTATTTATTTTAACGCACTTAAGGGGAACGGTGTATTAACAATTGTAATAATGAATTTCAGGGAAATTCTGAAGGTTCAATAATAAATAGCGATTATCAAATTGATAGTAAGACACGTTTCATTGTTATTTAATATATCATATAATTCATTCGTTGTCTTAATAAAAGTTGATTACATTCCTAGAATCAATGTCAATAACATCATTGAAAAATAAATATAAATCATATTCACGTGACAAGTTAGCGAGTGTCGAGGAAATTCTATCACCTACTGCAAGTAATATATGGAGCATAATGGATTATTATGAAAATGTAGAAAATCTTTCAAAAGAATCCTCCTCTGTATTAAACGAAGATACCATACATCCTGTCGATAAAGTACGTTAAAATTATTTTATATTAATTATGCCATTAAGGAGCTAATAAAATCTGAGAACAATTCATTTTTCATTTTTCATAAAGTTTCTGCAAATCGCAGAAAATATAGGACAAATATTCCCGTATAATGAACAGACGGTGTCATTTATATTCAACGGATTTGAAAAAGCGAGGATTTCAGTGCAGGCAGTTTGTGAAATTGCCCGTGGATCCTGTCAAATTTTGTACATAAATGCAATTTCGGACACCATAAGATGCAATGTACCGCAAGAGGACGTTCTTAAATTCGATTTACAAGTAAATATACAATATAAATTATTAGTAACTATATAAATGCGAATAAATAACAACGCATATTTTATAATATTATAACTTCGTTAATGTGAGAGGTAATGTTTGATTTGGATTGAATGGTAATGAATTTTTCAATGCAATAATTACAGTTATTTTGTGAGCCAGCGGTGACGACATTCAAACTAACGAATCAATGCTTAATTCCCTTACTTTGGACCATAGATATGAATTCAAATTTATTACGAGTTATCGAGAGTCCGCATGTGTTAGAGCCGAATGCAGAAAGTCTTGTATCGATCGAACGTCAAGCATCAGCTCCTGGAAAATTTAGCGAAAAACTATATATAAAGGTTCTTTACCTATAAAGATTTTTTTTTTTTTTTTTTTTTTTGTTTTTGTTTATAAATAATAGCGCTTATCATTTTAATGTGCATTTTATATAAATTTTTGAAGGTTTATTTTTTTGTAACTATTAAATAGATTGCCTATTTGGAAACATTTACCATAGATGTTGAGTGGTATTCAACAATTCCTCAACTATACATGGACATTCCTCGTGATAACGCCTTTCTAAAGTATCCAATATCGTTAGGCTATCGAGCAGTTCAATTAGTTATTGCCGAGGCTATTACGCAAAATCAATTCTTCACCACAGATCTGAAATGTTCTTCCAACACTAGTAACACTGAGATCTCTGAATCTATTAGTGAATCTGAAATAGCGCAGCTCAATGGTAAAAAGCTTGAAATATTCAGTATAATTCATTCATTCATTATAATCGATTGGCACACAATCTTAAATTCATTTCTTGGAAATTTAATTTGTTTAAAATTACTTTAGATAATAACTGGCACATAGTTAGGCGTGACGATGACTATCCAAGTCAAACGGACATCGACATGGCCTTCGAACGTTTGATCGTTAAAAATTATATCGAAATTAACGAGGACGCTTTTGTTATATTCAATTCTAATTTAGACACTAAAGAGCTTCCTTTGCCATTGGCACCTGCCTATCTTATAAATATGAACTTCGTATTGGTAGAGCAAACTGCACATTTTTCCATCTGCCTAAAAACTTACGGATTTAACAAAGCTAACGTTAAATTAATAAAGGAAAAGAAAAAAAACAAATCTTCAAAGACCTTCTTTTTCGCGAGTCTCGAAAAACATATTGACATTTGTCAATGCGAAAGTACGACGTTGAATGTAATCTTTAGTCCTAAAAAGTCTGTATTTTCTGAAGAAAGGACTGACGTCACTTACAAATTTTATCTTCAAGTATGTACCACATAAGTGATTCGTAAATCTAAGTGAACGAGCGCTATTTTAACGATATTTTTACTAATACTTAGCCGTATTGATTAAAAAAACAAAAAAAACAAAACAAAAAAAAAACAAAAAAAAAACAAAACAAAACAAAACAAAACAAAACAAACAAAACAAAAAAAAACAATAAATAAATAAATAAATAAAAGGAGCGTAAATATTATTCTAGGTAAAACAAGGGTTAACAATTCCTGTTAATGTTCAAGCCTCGGCTGTTTATCCTCATATATGTACAAATATACAAACTTTAAATTTTAATAAAGTTTTTACTGGACAATGTAAAGAGATGGCATTCCTTTTAAAAAATAAGTACGTTATTCTTATAACCAACGCATTGTTATTAATTATTATTAATAATAGCTTAAAAGCTAAATAATCATTTGGAATTTGTTTTACAATTCAATCGGTATCTTTCAGTGGATTCATTGATTGTCACTGGGAAATATGTATAGAAAGTCAGTCGAAAAACTTGACAAAATGTAAAGAACATCAATTCGAGATTAATTATAATAATGACGTATTTTCTCCTAATAAAGAGGCCATAATTAAAGTCTACTTTAGGCCATACAGAAGTGTAAGTATGAATAAAATGAAATAATATTTAAACTAATGATTGGATTTCTTTATATTAGGGCATTCACAGAGCAAATTTACTAATAATGGTATCGAATGCCCAAGATATTAAGAAAATACGTCTTAAAGGTTATGGCGTTGAACGCAATGTGAACATTAATAAAACAATTATCAAATTTCCATTCATAATTCCTAATACAAAAATATTAGAAGAATATTTGGTTATTACCAACGATAATGAATATCCTGTGGAATTATATTGGCAACACATTGAAGAGTAAGATGATAATTTAATTTCAATCGTCTGATTTTGATAAAACTATAAACGATATATCAGATTTTTATAATAAAAATGTCAAAGCATTTAATTTCAATATTAATTGATAAATTTTTAAATAATTATATTTATTTTAAATAATAATTTATTTTTAATTATTTTTTAGTTTTCGAGAAACAAATAAAGTCATTCGTGCTCTTCAACGTTATTATCGAATTGATGAGATCTTAATACCTCAAAGAGATATTGGCGAAAACTTGCCCCAATTACTGACTGATTTTTACAAGAAACTCATCAACGATATGTATTTGGATGATGAATTTCACGAAATCGTTAAAAATATTATTAAAGATACCGTGCACGACGATTATTTACAAAATGAATTTTTCACTGGATCTAAAGATAAAGTGGAAAAAATAACGAAGAAGAAAGAATCAGTTTGTTCCAGGAAAAAAAAAATAAATAAAAAGAAAATTGAAAAATCTAATGCATTGGGTCCATCAATTCTTTCCAACATTGAGCCAAATGCCGTCGAAACTCTTTTAAATGGTAAAAAATAATTTATTTATAGAAATTTTAATGCTTATAGCTTGCTTAGTACAATCTCTGTACTGCTTATGAATGAAATACTACAAAATATTAAAGGATTCATATAAAAAAATATACTTTAAATGACTGCTTTAAATATACTTTCAATTGAATTACAATTTAATAATAATGATTAATTTATTTTTAATTTTATATTGTAACTTTTATGCTACAAAAATTGATAATTATTACAATCAGAATTTATATATTTTATCAGAAGAAATTTCGATTTCTTTTTCGTCTAGCATATATCGATAAATTACAAAGGAACTCAAAATTTTGGGAAATAATGGAAGATCCATTATCTCAATTGTATAAAATTCATCATCAAAGAATTGTTTCTAATTTTTCGGAGCAAACCGTTGGATTTGAAAAGAATCTCGTTATTATTTTTCATGGAGCACCATTTACAGGTACAATTATCACTTTATCTAAATATAAAAAAATTTTTATTTTTTCGGCCTTATTGATATATTTTAATTGCCATATCAATATCCTTAATTTGCTTTTATCTAATTTTATCTAATTTACTATTATCTAAAAAAAATTTTTTATATATTTATTTATATATATAATTTCGATGTAGTTTTAGAATCGAAAAATTGTGTAATGAAAAATTTATGATGCTGAAAATGAACATCATATTTTTGCTAATTAATTAAAAATTTCAATACTAGTAATAAATACTTCTTTAATCCTATAATGAACGAATACGTTTCGAGTTTATTAATCATAATTGACAGAATATCAGGAAACAGCGTGTCGATGTGCAAAAGTCCTGAATCTACCGTTGCTGAATCTAAATCAACTTTTCATTGAGATCGCAGCTTTTGCCGAAGATAATAATGCGAAAGATTTCGCGAAAAAAATTGACAAACGCTACCAAGAAGTAATCGCCAAGATCACGAATACATTAACCAAGAAAAGCTTAGCTAGCGTTACAAGTAAACTCCAGCAATTCTGGAAGCAGTTTCCAACTCCGGAAGAACTCGAAAGGATGGATCCATACAGCCTATACGAATACAAATTTGAGATAATAGCACAAGGCCTAAACGATATTGAATCCTTGGACTCGTCTCGTGTATATAAAGCAAAGGATAAGGAGAATGCCAAGAACAAGGGCATTGCCAACAAGAAACAAAACATTTTGCCTGATGTTAGTGAACAATTCATTCAAGATATCCTCCGGGAAAGGTAGTTCGGATAAATGTTATAAAAAAATTTTTTAATTGATCGAACACCGTGATATTAGTTTTGCATTATTAAATTGTTCGTCATATAAGAATATTTGTATATGTATACATAATACCCAATATCTGCTATGATTTTTCGCTAATATAGATTGTCAAAATCAAAATTTAAATATGGATACGTTTTACAAACATTGAATAACGACGTCATGAATAATGAATCTAGCGCATTGAGGATATTATTAGAAGCCACGGGGAGTGTTAAAATTTATTGGATTATAACATTTTACAATTCTTTAGAGTTGTACGAAACCAGGATGAAGAAATTAAATAGAATTAAAGGCATGTTGCAATTAAAACTTTAAATTCTATAAGTGTATAATTGCACAGCTAATAACTATCATTTAATGTTATAGCCGAAGAAGAAAAAAATAGGGTCGATAATCTTATAAAGAATTTTCATAAAATAACCCTATCTGAAATTGAACTTTTATCGGAAGAAGACAAAATTTTATATTACCATTTTCGCGATAAAAATTCTGAACTGGTTATTAATTTTAATTCATATAAAAACATAAAATTCACATAACATATCAATTTATTTGAACAATTTGAATTTATCATATTTAATAGCATGGAGAAACACTGGATGTCACTCAGACTGAAATAGAAATGAAAAAAAAATCAGAAGTCGTAGCTGGAGAGAATGAATCTGCCAGTGCTCTCTCGCGTGAAAATTTCAAGAAAACAAAACAAGGCAACATAATTAGTAGTAAAAATTATTATAAACCTTTTTTTTTTTTTTATTTCTCAATTATTATTTCACCTGATTAATATATATATATATATATATATATATATTATTTTTTTCTTTCAGAAAGTGATATTAACTTTCAAGACGTTGACAAAGTTTCCAATATAATGAATGATTACATAAATAATTTAAACCAACTATTTGAAACTATAAATAAATGGGAAAAAAAATCATTGGTATGAATTTTGTTATATTCACCACGTTTAAATTATACGTTTTTTCAATTTTATGTCATTCCATTCAATTGTTATCCTACATAATCATTAAATAAGAAAATAATAAATTTTAATAGTTAAGAGATAATGTTTTCATATGGCAAGTTTTATCGGAAGATCCTTGGGAAAGAAAGATGTACGATGCCACAGTATCGCAAGTAACATTAATGTTTGAGGCTTTTCCAAATTACAATTGTAAGCCAGCTCGTTTATATTTTCACATGTAATGTATAAAATTAAAATACTTTTTATACAAATGCAAATATCTTTAGCGAGTGAAAATAGAATGCAATCAGCTATGGAAACGCAAACCTATTCGGTATTAAAGGAATACGAAATGTCTACGGCAATGCAAACAGGTATATATATTTAGAAGAGAAAAAAAAATCAACAGCGAAATGCTAATTATTAAATTTAAATATTAAGCCGAAGGAATAATAAAAATAAACGGCCGACAATATTATTTATCAAATTTAAGCCATTGGATGGAATAATACATCGTTCCTACATAACGTCGTAATTAATCTTATTCCATGTTTAAACAATAAATAATATTGCCGTCCTATTACAATTATTATAAATATAACACTGCCCTAAAATAAAATAATATAACATAAGTTAAACGAATTAAAAAAATTTCCAGACATTTTTACGCTCCTGCCACAAAAGTCTGAGAAGATCGCTGCAGCAGCAACTAATGAATCTAATGAATCAATGTTTTCGAATAAAAAGGATAACGAACACTCACCCACGGCAATTGACATTTTAGATGCGCGCTGCTTGTTGCAGCCACACGAGTCGTACGAATTCAGGATTGAATTTAGTCCGACAGAAGAAGGATCTTTCGAGAGCGAATTTCTCTTAACTCTAGTCGACAATGCAATTTCAACTTTTAAAATAAGCGCTACAGGGTCCGCTGAAATACCGAAATTAGATTTGAGCCCTTATTCTGTTTTCGACAGGGTGACTGCTTTTACCGTTTATTACATCCATACCCTTCTTCAACTGCTTGCTCGTATATCATTTTTTTTTTCTCTTCAAAATTATTTTAATAATCCGAAGGTGAAATTTCTAATCGAATAGCGCTCTGTTAAATAAAGTAACGCATTGTCACTCACTCGACACACTTTCGTCAATTCAATTATTCGTATAAATATTTTATGAGCATTTATAACTAACATTGATAGTTAATTTATTGTATTTCTCATTTATAATGATAATTTTAGGTGCGAAATTCCAAAGTCAGCGAATCGCACAAGCCTACATACTATTTAAATTCCCAAGTCTATAATTTTGGAAGTATAATATTTACGCGTTCGAACGACAGGTTAAGAAATATAGTCTTTTTTAACATTTAAAGCATGACAATGTAATACACATCGCTCACTTCCCCCAATTCTATAATTAGGATGTACAAGAAGCAAGCTCGATTTAATTTTAAGAATATTTCATCCGTCTCTACGGTAGTAGATTTTTCGCTACTTCACGGACAATACGACTACTTCCATATCAATCCTCGACAATTGGAAATACAAGTAAAAATATTTCCTTTGCAATTTTTTTTCGCTCTAACTTTTAAAAATCGTTACAATAAAATTATGTAAATACGATATTATCAAATGAAAGTGTTCCCATTAAGATTGGCAATTTTTAATTAAAAAATTAAATTACCGTATGATTATTGAAATATAATTACTATTGAAAAATAAAATGTAACTTTAAAGAAACTTTGCATTTATAAATTATATAGGCTAGCGAAATAGGCACAATTGATGTAACCGCACGTGCACTAAGATTTGATACTATTACCGACACTTTAATGTTATCAATAAATAACAATGATAAACCAGAAATTATCCAGGTAATACAATTCAATATTATTTAATATTATCTTCTTTATATTCGTGCAATTGTTAAGAACATAAATTAATGAACTTATTAGCTTGAGTGCAATGGCATTGAATTGAATGTAGAGTTAGAGCCTAAACAATTAAATTTGAATCGAATACTATTGAATGCAATTGAAAAACGAATAATGATAATACGGAACAATTCACCGATCGTTGTCTATTGGCGCATCTCGACAAATACAACTGAATCCACAATTCAACTAGTACCGAAGGAAGGAAAACTAAAGTACAAAGGATGTTGCGAGATAGAATTTCAATATTACGCTAATAGAGTATGATTTGTGTATTATATTAGAACAAAACAACAACGACAACGACAACGACAACGACAACGACAACGACAACGACAACGACAACGACAACGACAACGACAACGACAACGACAACGACAACGACAACGACAACGACAACGACAACGACAAAACAACGACAACGACAACGACAACGACAACGACAACGACAACGACAACGACAACGACAACGACAACGACAACGACAACAACAACAACAATACAACAACAACAACAATACAACAATAAAAACAAAAAACAAAAAAAACAAAAAATACAATACACTCGTAATGAAAAATAATAAATGCACGATTTTATTGAATTATTTTTACAGGTTGGTAAAGCAGATACAAAATACTTAACTTATCAATTATTTTTAAATGAATGTAAGACAGATCCAATAGCCACTGATAATATCACAATCACAGCAGAAACATACGACATCGAATTCCAGCTGAGTTCTGATATTATAGATTTTAATAAAATGACAGTTGGCTCTACAGACAATAAATCAGTCGTAATAAAGAACTTGGGCCCCTACGAAATAGAATACAAGTATTGTGCCTGTTTTAATAATTTGAAACAATGTTTAATCGAATATGAATAATTTGCTTTTCCACTTTAAGAATTCAATATCAAGAGTTTGATGTTTTAAAAAAGTTTTGTGATCCAAACGTAATAGCGATTTTGAAAGACGATTTTAAAATCCAATCAACTGCAGGATTAATTTCAAAACATCCGCAAACGATAAATGTACATACTAACAAATACATTCAATATATATATATATATATATATATATATGAAATTCAAATTAATTACACGCGTGATTATTTATATTTAGATAATATATACACCATCTGTTGAAATTACTTTGAAGTCTGTTCCATTATTTAAATGTGCGATAATTGAACCTTACAAAAATATTGGGACAGTTAAAGAAAATATAATAAATATTTCAGTTATTTCATATTATACTAGGTAAAAATGATTTATTTTCAAATATTATATATCATTCGAACATTGCTGTACATAATACAATAATACAATAATAATAATAATAATAATATAATAATATAATATAATTTGAATGATTTAATTCTTTAACAAATATTATCAATCTCCGATAGTTTGCTCTTAAAAAATTATAATTCCATCATATACAAAATACTCGCAATTATTTAATATCATAATTCATACTTAAGTAATATATCTGACATAAATATTCGCCAAATTTTTAGCAAAGAAAACTTTACGAGATGAAAATGCATAATACAAATTAATATTTAATATCTATTTAATTATATCTAATAGAACTAATGAAATAGTAAAATATTTACCCTTAAGATGTATATTGTTAAACGAATGGTAAATTCATATTTAAATTTTAATATAGATTTTCTATAGAACCACATCCAATATTGAATTTTGGAACCATTGCATTAAAGTCAACAAAAGCTATGCGACTAAAGGTTTCAAATACTGGAAAATTTCCCTTAAAATATTCAATTGTTAACGAATCAACAACTAAACGTAAAACCGATCCAACTACAAACAAAAGCGATAAGATTAAATCAAAATGTATGAAGAAATCTTCGAAACAAGTGGCAAAAATCAACACAACGTAAGACAATAAATTTGTATCTATTAATTTATAAAAAATTAGATAACACATTGTACATATGATATATAATAGTCACAAATCAAAATGGGAACCATTTTATTTGGATCGAGTTGCGGGTGAATTGGATCCTGGGCAAGTAGATATGTTGACTATTCACTGCTCTTCGAATTCTTTTGGACATTTCGATGAAAAATTAATTTTCGTCGTGCCAGAAAGTTTAGCAGCGGATGAAAAAAATCGACGAGTGTCGTTAGTTGCCAATGTCTGTCCACCTGATATTGATTTTAAAAATTTTAACGAAATTTTTATAGAAAGTCACGTGGTTGACTCGTACAGTCAATTTATTTGTCCAAGTGAGGTAAACAAATATTTATCGTTACAACTAACGAACGTATTATTTCATAACATCGATCATTCTTAAAATTTTCTTAGAAAACTTTATTATTTTAATTTAATAATTGTACTATTTTCCTTACGTATTATTATTACAGGAAAATTTTGTTATTTATTTATAAAATCTGATAATCGTATTATGCTAAATAAAATCTATGTCATATATAATATAGAAAGACGTGCCTTTGTTAAATTAACAAAATATTGCACATTTTTCAGTCTGGTGAACATTCCATTTTCGTGAAAACGACCAAGTGTTTACATTTTTGTCGAGTCTGCATCGGAAGCAATTATACCATCTATGTTACATTGACTAATATAAGTTTTATTAACGGAGACGTAATAATAGAACTTCTTAAGAGTAACTTAAATGCTGAGGCTTTTAAAATTAATACCAATCGATTGAGTATTCCAGCAATGAGCAAAGAAAATTTTACAATTACATTTGCGCCAACTTTACTAGGGGTAAACTATATATATACATATATATTTTTATATTATATAATAAATAACATCATTGGAATATTTTCGTTGAATGCTAAAAGAAAGTTTATAATGAAATTATGATAGGCACTATGTTGTACTTTTACTTTAGAATTTACTTTATAACGTTTAAAACAAAAAGCTATTATAATTTTACAGAAGTTTTCCAGTTTATTGAAAATAAAATTAGATTTACCAGAGGATGTACAATTACAAACTTTTTGCGTTGATTTGAAAGGAGAAAGCTGCATGCCTCAAATATGTATACTTGAACCATCCTTAAAATCTAATGAAAAATTAGCAATTGATTTTGGTTTATCATTTATTCTTGAAAAACGTCAAAAAATCTGTAGAATTCAAAATATCGGACAAGTGAAGGATAATCTTATCGTTAAACTGATGGATAATAATACAATTAATGTATTTGGAATATTTATCGAGCCAGATAAAGATGATTTATCGAATAATCTTATTGACGATAAAGATAGTGGGTAACAAAACTATATAAAATCCTAAAAGCTAATAAAATTGATTGCTGAATTACTTAATAATTATTTCAATGGTGATTATGCAGTTGTAAGGTGTTTAAATATACCCATCATCCCCGGAGAAATTATAAATGTAAGAGTTCAGTTTTTACCAAAAAAGGCGAAAAAATACATAAATCGTTTGACTATTATAATGAAGAGGAATCCATATGAGACTTTTGAAATTGATTTATTAGGAAATGGATTTAGTAAGAATGTTATCTTCGAATATTTGGATATTATAGATACGTCTTTATTAGATGCTGATGAAAGACAAAGCACGCAACAATGTAAAAGAAAATCTCGTAGAAGTTCTATAAACAAACAAGGTATATATTTATATGTTGAATAAATTTTTTTTTCAATTATTTCCTTAAAAAGAATGGTAGAAAATTTGAATGTATCGTGCATTTTTAAGAAACAAACGAAGGACTAAATTTGACTCCACTGGTTTATAAATTGGACTATGAAAAATGCTTTTTAAACGAAATGAATAAAATCAACTTCAAAATAGTAAATAAGACATCGGATCGAAAATTTCGCTTCGAATTAAATTCACATCCAAATATCGTGTTTACGCCATCTGCAGGACATTTGGCGCCTTGCATCTTTAAAGAGATAACCGCCACGTTTCTTGCTTCAGAGCCCATAATATTATCTCAAGTAATTATCAATTATTCTTAAGTGATTTTACAATATTGTAATGTAAACTCAATAAACATAATTCGTTAATCCATCGAAGATGCCAATTGATTGCATAGTTAACGAAATTGAACTAAGCGAATCAGAGATTCAGTCGAATTGGGATACTAGACAAATGACCGTTTCTTGGGAGGAGAAGTTCATTAGCTCATCCGAGTCGAAGTTTTGCGAAGATGACAAGATTCTTAAAAAAGTGATAAGAGAAAGCGAAGAGCCAGCATTTAAAATCATCTCTGAAACGGTCCAGCAGCTGCAGCTTTGGATTTACGCAATTGCCGACTACTCGTACTACAGTTGCGACACAAAATCCATTGACTTCGATGACACGCTGATGTTTCAAGTGAGAATTTTGTCTATACAGTTATCGGTTATATGTTATCGACTGTAACGTAAATTGCCGTTTAAATTAAATTTTTTTTTATTTTTTATGTCCGATATCATTATAGTCCCAGAATCATAAAATCATATTAGAAAATACAGGAAAAGTTAATTTAAATTACTCGTGGGACATAGTAATGGACGAACAGTATCCTATTCGATTGGATAATTCTAAGCTAAAGTTAATTTCTAATTGCGAATCTAGTATTACGGTTAAGGAACAAAGCATACAATCATACACCGAGATTAATCAATCTATGTATGAAAACTTAATAATTTTAGAAGGTATTTTAATTTTAAGTTTATATAAAATTGTCAAATATATCGACAATTAGATTCACGAATAATAATCGAAATTCAAGACTTGCAGTTGTCGTTCGAATCATCCGACCTATTCAGCAATTCAGCTGATTTAACAAATCGTACAACAGATACATGGATAGAAGGAGATAATTGGCCTTTTAGAATCAAACCAGAAACCGGCAGCATTGATCCCGAAAAAAGTGTACATTTTACAGTGAATTTTTCCCCAATCGATGTTTTTCAGTATAAAGCATATCTCCAGTGCAAGTACGATATACATTGCAGACACATTGATAAAACGATATTAATATTAATTAAATTGACAAGCCGCTATTCCAAAAATCATATTCTTCTTTGCGTTACAAAGTTTCACTTAAATTTTCTGCATTAGCTATCCGTTAGAAAATAATTAATACAAATGATCCGTAAATATCAGACCGTTATCGTTGTGTCTCGCTAAATAATACGGAAATTTATGCAAAATCCTTCAATACACATAATTTTCACAACGATCATTTAGAATGGAGAATTTAAATCCAACCACTCAATCATTGAATATTGTTATCAATGCAACAAGTTTATTGCCGTATTGTCATTTTGAAATACAAGAAAGTGATTATCTTACGAGTGGTAGAAGAGACGATAAGCTGCCGTTCCCTTCGGGTTATAGTCTTGCCGATTACGGGACAATTAATAAAATGAAAATTGTCGAGTTCAATATAATGGGCACAGGAGAGTATTACACAAGGTTTCATCATATAAAAATTGTCAATTTCATGCTATTGATACACTTGAATAATTTTTTAAGTATATTTTTTATTTTTTTTTTTTGAAAAAAATTAGACATATTCGGTTGGTCAATCCAACGACCGAAGAATTTTCTTACAGCTTCGTAAGATTATCATCGAATACGATAATTGAAAAACTACTGGCTTTACAATGTTTATCGGAAATAGATGTAATTGCAAGTGGTAGTAGAAAAGAGATATCGTTTTGTATGATGTCGGAAGAGGTTGGATTGTTCGAATCATTTTGGCAATTTGAAATTAAAAAATACAATCTTACGATTCTCTTCCTTATAGTTATTAATGTTACAGAGCCCTTAATATCATATAAAAATACATTGGTAAAATTAGCAACTTGTACCGTTGGTAAATATATCTTTCGAATGTTTATAAATACCATGGGGAAATATTGTCTAACAGATATTGTTGACGTTCTTGAATTCTTCATTCGTTAATTAAAATAAAATTGTCCGCAGGTGAATTGACATGCAGTTCATTTGAGTTAATAAATAATGAAGTTTGCCCATTGAAATTTAATATTAAAGCCGATTCTTTATATACTGAAGGACGATACCAAAGCATTGTAGTTTGTCCTCTATCTGGCATTTTGAAGCCAAATTCGACTAAAATTTTCAAGTAAACATCCATACCGATTACAATAAAATAGTTTTATCAGGCACCTATGTAATAATGATAATTTGTAATGTGTATTAGGATTGAGTATATGCCGTCGTTGATTGGAAAACATATTTTCAATGTCCAATGTCAAATTGAAAAATTAAGAAAACCAATACAAGTGCCAATAATGGCACACGTCATCGAATTAAGCCCTATGCTAATTTATATTGACATAAATGATCAAGATAGGACACTATTTACAAATTGTGATAATATAATCGACATTGGTCAAGTAAACCCGTCTTACATATCTTTCATAAATGATACTATTTAATCAATGAATATTACGAAGCACCCATCTTCTTATAGATTATTCTCAACAATGAAATGAAACTCAAGTTTAAATTAATGAATAATGGACAAATTGCCTTCGATTATTCATGGATATTGAGTAACGTATGTGAAAATACATTAAAAATTTCAATATCTGAAAAGGAAAGCAGAATTGAGGAAAATTCATCGATAATGTGCTATCTTAAACTCTTAGCCACGGCGAAATTACCTATTCGATATTATTCCTTTGCATTGCAGGTAACTCGAAACATTCGTTTTAACATTTCGTTCTAAAATATTTTATTCTAAAATATTTCAACAGATAAAGTATGGCCCTACTTATCATCTAAAACTTCATATATCTGGTAAGAAAATACCGATAGAATTTAGCTTCAGTCACTATAATTTTGGTCCTAGTTACATTCAATTACATAATGGAATTAAGTATTCTGTCGATCTTAAAGTAACAAATCATCAAAACACATGTTGCCCGTAATTCTTTAAATAGTTATTTATTAAAACGAAAAACTTGGTGATTTGTATATTTTACATAATGTTAATAATGCTTTTTAGGCTCCAGTGTACCTACAATGATAATTCCGATTTCAAAGTAAATCTTCAACAATTATCACAAGCAATACCTCCGAATGCCACAATTGTAATTCCTATTTATTTCCAACCGATCGAAGAGAAAATGTATGAAGAAGTTTTACATTTCTCAACACTCAATGAATCTATACAAGCAAATGTGCTTATAAGAGGTCAAGGTGTTATGCACAGAGTAAGAAAAATTTAATTTTATTCGAATTTATAATAATTAAAGTTGAAATTTATGCTAAATCAAATATTTAGCAATGAATGATAGCGCGCAGTTATGTAATGAAATTTATAGGGCGATTAATTCGAGTTTAATTCCCATGTAATGAATTAAGAATACAAGTAATGAATATATTTGTGAATTTAGATCTGCTTGAAGAATCCGGGTGACGCAATTATAAATTTTGGTACCATTACCATTGGAAAAACGTTGAGCAGAAAAATTTGCGTAGCGAATGAAGGATGTGTACCGGTCAAGTTAAAAATCGATATAATCGATTACTCTTCGGCCGATAGACAAGAAACCAACAGTCAGAATAAACTTTCTTCGGAATTTCTTAATTTATCAAAAGATTTTTGCTCGCCCGAATCGGAAGTAACATCCCATACGACAAAATCTTTTGATATTCATGAATTGATTGAGTTTTCACCAAAAGAATGGCAAAATTTAAAACAGAATACGGAAATGGAAATTACAATTAAATTCAAAGGCGTACATAGAGTTAAGTCATTAAAGGTTAGCCTGGGTTTCAAAATTGATTCGTTTACACTTCCTTTAACAATCGTAAAGGGAAATTGTACGATGGCTAGCTTTTATATAAATAGAACATATATATCTTTTGGTACAATCTTCGAAGGTTGCGCTGCCAAAGAAAAATTAATGCTTATAAATAATGGAGATCTTGGTTCAAAGTAAGTAGCGCAGTGATTTAAACGACTAATTCGACGATTTCTCATCAATACATTTATATTTAGATTTATATGGAAAAAAGAAAAAAATTCATCATATTTTGATATAATCCCATCAAGTGGATACTGCTCGGCAAATAGTAAAGTCGTATTTACTTGTACTTTTAAAGTTAATTGCCAAGTGTCTTGTACTCAGTCGCAGGTAAAACACACGCACGCGCACGTGCGCGCACGCGCGCGCACACACACACACACACACACAAATAAATAACACATATAAGATATAATTATCAAAAATAATTTGCAAACGTATTTGCGACAGTTTACTTTAGCATTGGAAAATCATGAAAATTTATTTGTAAATGTTACGGGAAATTGTGCCCCCATACCCGAACCAACAGAAATAATGAACTTTTTGTCAGAAATTCATCAATCGGAGATTAAAGAAATACAAATATATAACGATTCGGATAGAACTTGGTATTTGAAACCTAAGATTATTGGCGAATACTTTACAACGGTTTTAGAATTATCTATAGATCCAAAAACAGAGCATCCATGTACTATCGCATATAAACCGAAAAAACTCACTAGCGATAGCTGCTTTGACAAGGTATAATTTTCCAACTTCCCTCTTACATTACATCCATTACATCGGATATAAATATTAATAATTAACGATAATAGGGTAAATTAATTATTATTAATCCTGATGGGAAAGAACCAATTTTATATAATTTGCGTGGACGTTGCATATCGACTGGTTGCGTTAAACAAATATTTAGAGAAATAACGGTTAAGCAGAAATTCGTAGAGCCATTAATTGTTTATAATGATAGTGAGAAGTATCAGACTTTCGCTTGTACAATCGAGCCGATAAATATTGTCGATAATGTAAGTTATTCGTAAGACTCTGTAGCCATTCGATATAATAAGCTTTAATTGAAATAGTCGGCATACTCAACATTTAATCCTTTCGATAATAGACAGTTTTCCCGGAATTTCAAGTGGACGTTCCCGCTAAGAAGCAAATTTATTTCGATTGTCCCTTTTACTTCGAAATAGAAGGGCATTTTAACTATAAGGTTAAAATCCTTATACATATTATACTTGTAATATAATTAATTATAAATTTTTATAAAAACGATTACTTTTACTTTAGATAACATTTAATGATCATCAAGCAAATTCTCAATGTTATAATGTGGAATTCGTAGTTAGTGGACCGAAAATACAAGATTATATAGAATTGACTACTTATGCGCGTAATGTAATATTTCATACTCTGAGGATTGATAATCCGTTAGAGAATAGTGAAGTAATATTCGATGCAAATAATATTATCGAGGACATTACCATTCATGGACTACCGACAACATTGGATCCTTTATCATCCGTAAATTTAATTTATTATCCTTATGAGATGCTTTACAACGAAAAGAATAAGCTTAAATCAATAAGTTCATTATAATGCGCATAACAATATATTATTATTGCCTATTGGAATTATCGGTTATTTATTTCAGAAAAATATTGAAATAGAGTATCTACCGTTAATACCACGTGAACAGAAAATAATGCTCGAAATAATTAGCGAAGCACTTGGAAGTATATTTTACGAATTGCATCTGATCGTAAAACGACCTCTTCCAGAAAAACCAATTAAGATAAAATCGAGTTTAGGAAAATCTATCGATTTTACTCTTCAATTAAAAAATTATAGCAAGAATACATGTGACTTCGATATTACGGTATTAAACAGAATTAATAATGCCTGTCTGTCCATTTTTTTTTTTTTTTTTTTTTTTTTTTTTTTTTTTTTTTTTTTTTTTTTTTTTTTTTTTTTGGTTTTTCTGTCTTGGGT